TAAGTTATATGAAAGACGCTAAACCTCATTCATAATAAAAGTAACGCCAATTGAAACTTCACTGAGATATTCTTCACCTACTAGATTGGCAAAAATGCAAGTGATAATATGCTCTCTTGGTAAGGCATGGGAAAACAGGTACTGTCATACTTTGTTGATGGAAGTATGTATTGATACAATCCCTGTGGAGGGCAGTTTGACCAGATTTCAGATGCCTTTAGGCCAGAGGTTTCTCTTGTGGGAATTCATCATACTTGTATAAATGTGAAATGACATATGCACATAAATTTTCAATTGTAGCATTGTTTGTTATAGCTAAATGTTGGAAACAACCTAAATGTCTGTTGATAGAATTTATAGTATATCCATGCAATGGCAATACTATATAGCTATATAAAGAATGATAAAGTACTTTATGTACTAAAATGGAAAGAGCTCCAAGTTGTATTTTGAAGTGAAAAGACAAGGTGTAGACAGCAGGTATAATATGCTACAATCTGTGTAAAAAAAGGTGATGAAAAGGCATGTGTATTTATGTTTGCTTATATATGCATAAAGAAACTCTAGAAGGGTACACATGACACTCGCTATGGTGAATTCTCATGGTCATGGGGGAGGGTAAAAACTGGGTAGTTGGGTTATAGGAATTGGATTAGTTTTTTCACTGAATAACTTGTATTTTTTGATTTTTGAGATATGTGAATATTTTGCTTATTCAAACAATTAAAAAAAGAAAGGAAAAATTGAATTAGTTTGACTATTAGCAAAAATGCCAGGTAGATAAACAGATACATTTTTCTTTGTGTCTTTTTCTTTCTCTTTGTATTTTCTTAAGTCAGGAAATGGCATAATGCTGAGACAAATAATAAGTAAGCAAAAATTCAAACAGGTCATAAAAATGGGCTAATTACCCAAGAGTTTGTGCAGACTAAGTGCGAAAAAACTTGAGATTTGCTGAATTAATGGATTCATTTCTCTAGAGAATAGATAAATTGAGTTTGTGTTGGTAGATGAAAGACAAGGAATATCAACATGAATTATTTATCAGGTGTAAGTGCCTGTTGCTATTAAGTCTGCTATTACTGCTCCAGGGTCCGTGGAATAGAATGTTTCATTTTCCAGAATATAAATTAGATGACACTTGCATTTCCATTTTATGTATGATTTGTGATAAAACCTGTCTCTTTGCCAAAGGAGACTTTTCCTTTGATGGATATATGATAGGCATTTTAATTTAAATATGGAAGTAATTTTTGCTCTTTTTAAAGATGTGGTAGAAAGAAAAAAGTTCAAATTGTATAAAAGAGTAGCCGAGTGGCTCAGTTGGTTAAGAGCATGAGCTCTGAGCAATAGGGTCACCGGTTCAATTCCCCCATGGGCCAGTGATGCTGCGCCCGAGCTGAGCTGTTGCTGAGCTGCCAACAGGTGGCAGGATGGCTCAGCTGGTGAGAGCACGTGCTCCTAACAACAAGGTTGCCCGTTGGACTCTTGCATGGGATGGGGGGCTACGCCCACCTGCAACTAAGATTGAACATGGCACCTTGAGCTGAGCTGCCCTGAGCTGCAAAAGGGCAACCGGATGGCTCAGTGGTTAGAGTGTGCACTCTTAGCAATAAGGTTTCTGGTTCGACTCCCACATGGGATGGTGGCTACGCCCACCCTCAACTAAGATTGAACACCGCACCTTGAGTTGAGTAGCCGCGAGCTGCCGACGGACGGCCAGATGGCGACTGGACTTGGAGCTGAGATACCTGCACCCTCCACAACTAAGACTGAAGGACAACAACTTGGCTGTCCCCCTTCCCCAATTCCCCAGCACTGCTCCTCTTTCCCAATTCCCCAATAACATCTTAAAAAAACAAAAACCAAAAAAACACATAAAGCAAAATTGTGTAAAAGAGACTACTACAATGGGAGATGAGTCTCCTCACAGATCTCTAGGCCCTTCTATATAGTTTCTTAAATGGGAATTAAATAGTTGAACCCTCTTTTCTACTTACTTTTTAAAATTAAATCTTAGAGGTCGTGTAGTAATGTTCAAATTTCCTAGGTTGCACTATTTATGAAACTTTAGGATCTGAGCCTTTTACCTCATTCTCTAAATATTTGGGGATTTTCTTAGATATCTTGTTGATTTCTCACTTAATTTTTTTTTTTTTTTTAGCTGAGCCCCTTTTTTAATTATGGAGAGATGAGTGTTAAAATATTCAACTTGGATTTTGGATTTGTCTTTCTCTCCCTTTACTTTTTTTTNGCAGTGTCACTGGCCCTCATATGTGGGATCCGAACCGGGGCCCTCTGGCGTCCCAAGCCAGTTCTTAACCATTGCGCCACTCGGCCAGCCCGTGAATCGTTTGTTTTCTATTTTATATTTTGTCTGATTGTGCAAATATAGCTTATCACTTGCAACTTTATTAGAGTCCTTACTTCTTAAGTTAATTTTTTCCATTGATTTAACGAAATGAAAATTTTACTGCAACAGTGTAATAGCCATGTGGATAGCTGGTACAGAATCATACACAGAACTAAAAACAGCTTTAAGAATCATGCTGCTCAAAACCTTATTTTATTAGTTAAAGAAACTAGTATCTAACTAGGCCCTGAGAATTCCATGATCTCTGTATATCTAATTTTATATGACCTTTTCATTATTATCTGAAGAGATTTAATTCTGTTAAAAGCAATATAATGGGTTGTCGGAAAAGTCCTGACGCGTTTTTGCAACGAAAAACATGGAGAAAATATGTTGTGACTTTTCCAACTACCCAATATGTCTTGAAAGTAAAGAGAAAAAATAAAAACAAATATTAAGAGGATAACATACTGTTTTGTTATTGTTAGATTTTGAATTTGGACTATTTTAATGGCTTGCATAATGGTTAATTTCTATCCTGTTAAAAAGCAGCATATTTATGGTGATTAGTTGAAAGTATTAAATTTTTCTCCAGGCTTTTTATATGTTAATTAATAGTAATAATAATAAATGTCATTAAATTTGTGTGGGGATTTAGTTTTCAAAGTATTTTCACATACTTTGTCTTTTTAAAGCTAGAGTTATTAAGGTTGTAATATGTAAGAAACAAAACATGCAATGAGAAAAAAGAACAGGTTTTGGGGAAGCTGGAAAGTACTTTAGGTGTTGATATTGGAAGTTAGTTTTGAAACTGTGTGTTCTCAATAAGATGAAAATGTTTAATGGAATGGAGTAAAAGTTAGTGCTGATAAATACGTATGTAATAGGTAAGATTTAATGAATATTCTGTATGAGCAATAATGAGAATTATGTAGTGTAATATCTAGAGAAGGATAAAATTACTCTTGCAGATAGCTTAGAAAGTGTAAATTCTTTGTTATTTGCCATTTCTATAAGTGGAAAATTTTCATACCTACAGAACTATTTTCATTGGTGTTTCAAATAATGATTTGAAGGTACTGCAAGACATTGTGTTATAAATTATAAATTATATTATAAAAGAAAGGTAAAATTGCCTTGATTTTCTGTGCCTCTTGACATACCTAGTAATTTTTTTTTNCTCTCCCTTTACTTTTTGACAAGTTTTGCTTCATGTATCTGAAAGCTTCATTATGAAGTTAAGGAGTAAACTTGTAAAACACCTAAGGTTCAGATGGGGTAGCAAAGACAAAGGCCTTTATGTTGGGAAAAACAAGAAGGGTACACTGGAAGTGTGGGAGAAATGGGATGGAAAGGCAATGGGTGGTGATATGTGGGGGGCTGATTATGGAGGGTCTTGTAGGGTATAGCAGGACTTTGGGTTTTATTCTAAGTCTGGTGGAAATCCTTGCAACATTTTGAACCCAAGAGTGACATCTGAATTATATTTAAAAGATTCAATCTAGAAGCTGTGTAGAGTAGGATATATAAGGAGCAGGAGTAGAATGAGAGACCAATTATGAGGCTGTTGAAGTAATCCAGGCCAGAGATGTCATCTGCTTAAACTAGGATGGTAGCAGTGGAATAGATACATGTTTAGATTTGGGTCTATTTCAAGTTAGAACCAAGAACCAAGCAGACCTGCTGAGGAATTTTTGTAGGGTATGAGAAGAAGAAAGGAGTTGGAAATTATTCCCATGTTTTTGGTTTGAGCAACAAGATGAAAGTACCGTTTACTGAATTGTGAAACATTGATAAGAAGGAGCAAGTTGAAACAGGATATATACCACTGCCCTTATGATATATTAGGAAACTGAGGAGAATTTTATTAACTTTGGGGTAGAATCCCGGTCGCATCATTGCTAGCCTCAGATTTCTTTTAAATAAGTGTCTCATGTTTTAAAAAATTAACTTTGCTTGCATGATGATAACTCATGTTTATTTAAAAATTCTTTCAAAAGAGCCTGAGCAAGGATGTTTTAAGAGTCTTCAAGATTTTACGTATATATTTTCTGGCATGGTAATGATTAAAGAGCCTAGCACCTTGCAGATATTGAGTAATTGTTGGATAGATTAAATTGAAAGAAGATCCAATCTCATCTTCAACCTTGATATTATCATAAGGGCATATATCTGTAGTGTATTTAAGATAAATTGCACGAATCAAAAATTGTGGTCTTTCAGAAAGTAGTGGTTAAGACTAGGAATCATAAGATCTCAGTTTGGACATTAGGTCTGCCACTTACTGTCTGTGTAACTTTCAGCGAATCATTTTACTGTTCTCAGCCTTAGTTTACCTATCTGTGAAATGGGAATAATTCTCATCTCACACAACTATTGTGAGGATGAACTGGGATCATGTATGTTTAACAGTGCTAACATAAAATGCCACATCAAACATGAAATATTAATAAGAGTTTATGGAGCCTGAATCTCAACAAAGCCACCATGAGATGTTCACAAAGTTGAGAGAAAACTATAGTAAAGAAAATTTGTGGGAAACTTCTGTACTTAAATACATGGCACTTTTTTTCCCCAAAATTATTATGTATATTAACATCCATGTTATAAAGAATATATTACTGAGGATAAACGTTTATGTTTACAGGTATTGGTATGCCTTGAAAAAGGGTTATCATGTGGTTTTCAAACATAGCAAGACTGATAACTTCATAGGAGAACAAATTGATCTACGTAAAGAAGTTATAGATAGAGTGACTGATTTGAGCATGCTCAGACTATTTGAGACCTACCTGGAAGGCTGCCCACAACTGGTTCTTCAGCTCTATATCCTTCTGGAACATGGAGAAGCAAATTTCAGTCAATGTAAGTCTTTCTTATTACCCTGTGTTAGATGGATGCCCCTGAGAGCTTATGTCAATTACATAACTCTTTGGCAGGTTTCAGAATTTTTTAACATTGTTTTTCTTTTTAGAATTATTTTTTTTTG